ACTTCACCCCTTTTATACTGTTCCCCAACTTATCCTGTTTGACTGCCTTCTCTTTTCACCCTGACAACATTTCAGCTTGCAGAGCAAATTCATTTACTCCCCATGATTCACTCTGTCAAGGTGTCACGGCAAAAAGAGCAACAAGGAGTCCCGCTAAAGTCATTATTAATCTGGCTGTTACAGAGCTAACAGCAAGGCTAAAGCCCTTGATCTGTTTCATTAGCATCTCCTCATCAGGGCTAAATGCAGTTAGCACTAACAGCCAAAGCTAGTCACTAGCGGCTTACAGCTGACGAGGCTGATCAAAGGCAGTAGTCTGATGTAGAAGAAAAGCCCCCTCACCTCTGTGTTAGCTCACAAGGTTCACATGACTGGAGGACTCGGCTTTCGCAATACTGATTAGTTATTTTTTTACACTCAGCTTTAAGGTACTGTCTCCTCAGTTTCTTCTTTGTTTTTTTTTACAGTCTTTGTAATTCTCCTTCCCTCAATTCCTGAATCATGAGTCTGTCTCTTCATCCTAGAGCTGCATTCAAGTGTCATGTCAGACAGTGGGAAATGTTGGCTTTCTAGTAGGAAAGATGCACTACAACCTTTCTGCTCCCTGGTTTTGTTAAGAATTGCCACTGAAACACACAAAGACTTTATTTACTTTCTCTTGTCTCCTCTCCCCATCGTACTCTCTTCATCTTTGATATGTGAAGTGTCTTGGCATCAACCTTCTCTTTCCATGTTTCTCTTTACCTATTCCTCTCCCACACCTTTTTTTTAAACCCTTGTTCTCCATCTTGACCAGGAATATTAAAAGTGGCTCAGCGTGCCTCTCTGGTTAATTAGAGCACAGCAGCGGCAGCAGCAGTCTCATGCTGACGGATGGTACACTGCTGAGCTTCTCACAGGCCAGGATTAATGGCTCCTGCCTGACTGGGATATGGTGTGTGTGTGTGTGTATGTGTGTGTGAGAGCTTGTTTGCATGTGGAGACTGTGTGTATAATGCATTTATAGGTGTATTTGTGCATAGGAAAACTATTTGCATGTATAAATATTTGTATGAGCTACACCTCTATTATCCTTTGTCTAGATTATTGTACTGTATAAATATTTCATACGCTTCAGCCGTTTTTATTGCACTTGAAAAGTGTTTCAGTGTCATATTTACAATTCTAAATAAGGTGTCGCCCCTTAGGAGGAAAAAAAGAAAAATGCACAACACGGAACTCTGTGTAGTCCTGGTGGGCAGTGAAGTATTCAAACCAGATTTTACCTGATTGTCTATGAGTGTTTGCGTAAGAAGGAAGATGAAAGCCTGGCACAGCTTCACACAACAGGTGTAGTCTGGTCTGTGGGGAATCTGAAGATCTTGGGCCAAGGTGGAGCTCTGCAAGAGATGGATTAAACACCAAAACACACACACGTATGTCAAGGCATACTGCAAATATCTCCACCCACACACCAAATCTCACAACAAACTCACCGGAAAAGCTCTGATCAAATAGCCCAAAACACACATACATACACATAGTACATTTTTATGAAAGTTACATGGCCAAACACTTGTCAAGTATGCAGTATCATAGCAGTTGACACTTGCTTACAAAAAGACGACGTAATAATGCAATAATAAAAGAGCCAACATATTTTGGTTATTGAATTTGGGTGTCTCTTCAAGTAGGAATGAAGGGGTCAAGATTTCTGTTTCTGTTGCTTTCTTGTTGTCTCTGTGGTAATGCTTGCTTAGCTGAGCTGCTGCTCTAATTAATAAATTATTATGAACTTAATGTCATGGCCGTTATTGAGTACTCCCAGTTAGAGCATTAGGATAAATAAGTTCAGACAATTTTGTGCCACCCAAATAAAAAATGCAAACTCTTGTGGTGATTTCTGTTGCTGTCATAAATTCGCTAACATCCAATATGTTTCCCAAGTGAGAGAATAAAAATAAGAAATGGGACAGTTTTCCACTGCAGTTTGGATGTAGCCAAATACTCTTAAAGAGTTGAAGCAGAGTTTCTGTCAAGATCGTGCCAACATTCCCCATGGGATGGTGTGAGAGGAAATGGGTCGGCGGTGGCTCACATGACTGTGCATGTATCCTGAGGGTTGCAGAGCTCCGCTTGGACAAGACGTCGGGTCAGGGTGTATGAGGCTGGGTACAGATTGCTCTTTCCGTCAAGTTTCCGAGCTCTGCTGCAGCTCAGACATTGTGGGCTACAACTGTGAAAAAAATCACAATCCCAAATGCAGGCATAAATATAGACACAAAAATCACAGTCCAGATGAACACTGCACTGTCACACAAGGACGGTTGCTTTGCTGAATGCAGACAGCTACACACAAAACTCGAATCAATCACAACCACACACACCTACACACACACACACACAGACAGCATAACCCTCGGAGCTCTAGTTATTTCTTGAGGCTTGTTATGTTTCCCCAGTGT